CCTTCACCCCCTCCCTTCTCGGTGTAACCTCCAAAAGGGGAATTTTCCAGCTGGTAATTTCTGCTGCGTCAACACCCGGCTCGAGGCAGCGCCGAGGAGACAAGGGGGCATTTGAGCGGCGGCGGCGGCGGCGGCTCCGCTCCCGCGCGCGCGGGGACCCCCCCGGCCCCCCCCGGCCGCCCCCTCCTCCCCGCCGGCGTCGCCGCAACTCGCACCAAGAGTTTGTCAGGAGCGCGGCTGGAAACTGGGGGGAAAAACACCAAAAAAAGAGAGCAGGGATGAGGTAATAATCCTGGGGAAGCATGCTGGATTTCTCGCTTTCTGCCTCTTTTTCTCTTTTTTTTTTTTTTTCCTCTCCTTCTCCTTAAGCCAGGCCTGTTTTGGGTTATTGTCTCCCCCTAAAGCCAGGCACGGCTCGCCTGGCCTCGCCTCCATTTTAATGGCAGGCTGGAATGGGGGAAGTGACCCTCTTTTAAAACAAACAAACAGCACCCGGCCACCTTGGGGAGGAAGCAGCGCTCTTGCCTTAGGTGGGCTTTTTTTCCTTGGAATAAGGCYCGTAACAAGTGCAAAAGTGCCTGGGAATGCCCCTCAGCGTGAGGGAGAAGATAGTGGGGGGCCTTCCCACCCACACCCCCCCCAAAAAAAAGGGGGTGAATGGTGCCATGGGGCCTGGGCGCGGGAGAGGGGTGCGGGCGGCCTTTGTGCCCCTGCAGATGGACGTGTCACTTCCCAAAGTAACGCGAGCGGCGCCCCATAACTCCATCCCCGGCGGCGCGGAGGGACCCGAGCGGCTTTTCCAGGGCTGGAACAGCGGCAGGGATTTGCCTTTCCAACGAGGGGGGAAACGCGGCTGCCTCCCGAGGAGGCTCTTCATCACGGGCGCCTCGCTGYGAGGCCGGAGAAAGCCCAAAACCCCCAATATAAAAAGGCTTATTTATTTATTTATTCCACCTGATGAGGAGAAGGCAAACAAAGGGGAGTTTAACAGGTCTTTAATGAATTCCGCGTGCTTTTTCTTTTTATTATTATTTTGCAATCTCCATGATTCACTTGGCGTGGATTAGGGGATGGGATTATTATCAGCATTGTTTAAAGCTATGCTAATTAGGAAATGCGGTCTGCAAGCAGGCTCGTCGGGGACACCTGCACCAAAGTTCTTATATGTGCTTTAATTGCGTCGCTTGTGTCCGTTTTTGACGTTTGGTTTGTGGAATATAGAGCCAGCTCCCTGCTCTGGCACTCGATAAAGTATTTATTACAAGTGCGGATTCCATGTGCACAGAGAGCATCTCCCCTCCTAATGTGCTTCCTCAAAAAGGAGGGCGAGCCTCTTTTTATTCTTTTATTTATTTATTTATTTTTTAACGAGGGCAGTGGGGATTAAAAGGAAAAACCAGGTAAGTGAAGAAGAGCGATGGAAATGTAATTTTGAGAGGAAAGCTTCCCGTGCCTGCGCGGCTCTGACGCTTTCATCAATACCTTGCTTGAACGTTTTTGTTGTACAGCAGCTTTGTGTCGGGAGTGAAATTTGACTTYGCTGCTATAAATTCTGTTTCTTTGAGTTCACTCGCTGTTTGTAAGTTCCGCGTTTTGAGAGGCTTAGTGGTGGAGAAATGGGTGGAGTGTCTTGCTAGTGAATATTCTCACCGTGTGGTGAGGATTTATTGCTCTGAGGTGTTTTGGGGGAACCGGCACGAAATGGGTAGCGGTTGCCCCATGGGCCAGGCTGAGGACTGCAGGGCAGTTTTTGCTGGCACTGCCTCTATATGTGCCCGAAAAGTGTTATTTGGCTTGATGCATCAGGAGGATGATTCTAATTTAAAGAGAAAACTGGTCTTTTGTTTTGATACGGCTTGTCCTGAATGGGGCGGCTCACCCTTATCTAAGCATGGCATTATTTACTATTGCAATAGCTGTCATTGACTGTATGGTGGCCTTCATTTGAGATCGACTCAATTTAGTGTGGTGCAAAAAAAAAAAAAAAACCCGATGTATTCTAGTAATTCTAACATTAAATGTTTATTCCTGTGTATTTTAAAAGCCGTTTAATTCTAAGAGGTATAAGATTAAGCCTTGGAAAACATGACCTGTACACAGGGTTCTTGGAGACTAAAGAAAATGGGCCACTTTCTCCCCGTGGTCTTTGTTTTCTGGGACAGTTGTACAACAGTGGATATGTTCTTTGCAAGAGGGTTTTTTTTATAACTGGAAGTGCTTGGAGAAAAACCAGTTTAGCAACCCCCCCAACAGTTCTCTGTCAAAAAGGAAAAAAAGGAACGTTATTTGCTGTTAATATGCCTGTATTTCCTCTGATATCGTGCTGTACTGCTGTGAGATTGAGTATATTTTTCAATGAAGCTTTTTGACTATCCGCCTGTGTGGATTTTTTTGCCTTTTTTTTTATAGGCGCTCCGTTTTGACGCGTGTTTTGAAGTTTCTAGGCAAAGTTTCCTGTCTTCCAGCGCAGCAGCAGGCTGACACCCAATCCAGGCTGTTATTTTCTCGCTTTCCGAGCAGAATTATTTCATAAACAGCTCAGCCTTTCCCAAGGCTTCCCTCCTCTCCCCGTAATGTTCTTGCTGCCTTTCCTGGCTACTTCAGAGCACTCCCTAACGCTCTCCAGACACCCCCTAAATTGGTAAAAAGCATTCGCAGGGGTTTTTCTTGCTCCTGTGTACTTAGTTTAATGGGCAAACAAAAGGGTAAAGAGAGGGCTTAGTTTAAGTCTTTGAACAGCTACCTGCAGGTCTAATGGTTATCCCATATGCGCATTATAATTCCCAGGAGCYGGCAGTTTGTGTCCATTACTGTCCGTGAACATTACGCTAGGAAATTCTGACACTTTGCACTAAAGGATGAATATTGTGGTTTTATTTTTTTTGCTTTTGGCTTTACTGTCGACTTAAATGTGTCGCTTACCTGTGTTTTTAATATATGTTGTGTTTGAAACTTAAACTGTATTCATAGTGCGGTTAACTGTATTAAAAGCATGCAGTGGGGCTTCAGGGGTCACGTTAGGCCAGATCTAAGAGGGATCCGGGGTTAGCGGGATCTAAGATAGAGGTTATTTTGCCTGCATAGACTCCTGTGGTGTTAGTCTTTACYTAATGGTTTTCTGAGCATTTTTAGGGCGTTTTGGCCAAGTGCAACAATGCTGTCAGAACTCAAGTGTTAAAATTTCCATTTGTTACCTCGAAGTGTCACTTCACTAATTAATTCTTTAGGACTTCTTGTTTCTCTAGCTGTATGTTTGTGTTGCAGCCGCCTTAAATACAACCCTCGGCGGCTGAGGTTTTCTTGGTTCCCTCCAGACTGCTAGACRGGGTGAGAAGCAAAGCCCGCTGCCTGCCGTGGGATTTCTCCCATTTGTGAAGCAGGAGAGAAGCGTCTTGACTTCCCTAAGCAGTTTAATCGTTTTATCTGTTTCATGCTGCCGTGATGTGTTTGGATGCAGAGCAAAGTCCGGCTGGCAGGGCGAGCTGCTTGGGATTCCGTTCCCATCCCCGCTATCGATTGAACATGCTGCTGTCATAACTGCCTGCCACCGGCTTCTCCGTGCGACGGGGGCCCCTGTTTACTCACCTCTTCCCAAGCCTTTGCTGGTGCATGGACAGGAGATCGTAGTTGTTCTAAGTAGGTCTATTCTTTAAAATTGCAAGCAGCCTGCTACCCTCCCTGGCTTCCCACGATGGGAATTTTGGGTGGAGAGGGATTTTTGGATGAGGATTTTCTGGCTCTATCCCTTACAGAGCTCATGGTGCCGTAGTTATTCTCCCAACAGTCGCTTTACCTTCCAAAGCGCCATCCCTGCGTACTCAGGAACCCTTTGTTTTCGTTTTTGCCGCTGCTGAAATGTGGGTTGTGGATATTTTGCAGGCGGGATGAGATCCTTGGCAGCAGTTCTAATTAGATGGAAATGCGTTCCGCTCGGCGGTGTTTTGTTGCCCGTGCGTATGTAAACCTGCCTGCATTAGGATAAGCAGCGTCCCTGCACGCAGGTGGAGGAGCTGTGCTGCAGCCCGGAGCTGCAGCTTGCTCTTGGCCTCTCTCCTTGGGATATAGTTCATTGCAGTCCATGCAATTGTGGCCTTTTCTGGCCRTTTTTGGATCCTGTAACTTTCCTAACGCTCGCCTTATGGCAAAACTGAGGGAGAGCCTTTGATAAGGGAGGAAAGGAAGAGTGAAATATTTACAAACACAGTTCCCAGCTTGCGTATGGATAAAATAAACTTAGTAACAAGAATGTTGGAGGATGTGCCAAGAACTTAGCTACTTAAGAGCCCTACTTAGAAAAATGAGTAGGATTTTACATACTAGGGAACRTGTTAAAGCTTATATACACTAAAGCTAATGTACACTAAAGTACCTTTTTTATATATATATATATATATTTTTTTTTTTTCTTTCTTCATCATGTTTGAGCAAACTGCATAGTCCATYCCAGCGAGTTTCCTTCCTAGTGTTTCTCAACCTGTGAGCACCTCTGTGGGAAGAGAGTTGGGAGTTCAGGCAACTTGCCTGCTCTGAYAGAGCAGAGTTAACAAAATCTTGCACCTTTTGCACAGATAGACACTTGAAGGAAACACACTTTCTGACTGCTGTTCAAATTCCGTAGGAAACAGAAGAATCGATGGTCGGTATTAGCAATTAGGAGCTTCAATTAGTTGGTTTCAGGCTTGGGTATTTTGGACACTCACCTGGCARTGAGGAGGCTGCTGCTCCTCTCCCCAGGGTGCTCCCACCAGGGTGCTGGGGAGAGTGAGAGGGCAGCTAAATATAAACCCAGCTTTTCAAAACCGCCGCATCCTCCTTGGCTCCGTGCCATTTTCTTTATAATAGTTGACCAAATGTAGGTTGTCAGATGCATGCTAAAACCTAGAAGGGGCTACCTATCCAAGGTGCTAAGTGTTTGCACTGTGAATTATAAAGCAAAAGGAGGTTGTTCAGAGTACCTCTTCTCTCTGCAGTTTTGTGGTGATGTTTGTGTGGCTTCTTTTTTCTTTTTTCCCCCCTCTGGGATCATTCCCAATTCCTTATATCTCTTTCTATCTTTTAAGCGCTCTTTCCCCCAGCTCCTCCCACCGCTGTGGTTCTCTCTTTACCTTAGACCTCTTCCTCCTCCCTGGATTTTGGAGTTTTAGCAAAGATCCCCTAAGTAAAAAGGCCAAAAAAAAGAGAGAAAGTTTTGGGGGGAGATTCTTTCTTCAGGGCAAGTCCCAGTGTGTTATACTGTTCCTTAATCCTCTTTTTAAGATGTTTTTATGTTGCTTTTGGGCTAGCGCAAACAATTGTGGAACGCTTGGCTTCGAAGATTACTTCTGTGACTTTTATTTTTCTTTTTGCTGGATTCTTGCATCTTGTAGAATTTAATGGCACTTGGACAGGTAAGTTTCCTTCTAGCCATAGGCAATTGGAATTAACAGGGTTTTTTAATCCTCACTGCTAGCTTGCATAGATACAACTGCAGCTAAAGTCCTGTCTTTTTTGCCGTCACCGGATTTCTCAAGCCTCCTACCCTGTCAAGTAGTTGCTTTTTAAATGCCAGTTAATACATGGTGTGGCCGGTGTTGGATCCGAAGCCAGATGAGTGGCAGGGAGAGCAGAGATCAAAACCAGGAACGAGGAAAGCAGCTCGTGGTGGTCACCGTGTTGGAGAGAGGAACAGGGACAGAGCTAGGGAAACAAGTAAGTGAAATGTAGAGGAAATGCAGAGCAGGGTGGAAATCGCACRCTGTGCCACAGCGTTTTGAAGCAGGGATCAGTATGTGCAATATTTTCTGGTGTCTCAGGAACTGGCAGCAATGTCACTGCTCCACAAGGAAAGGTGCATCCTGTTGGATTAGTCAAATGTCACCAGGTGGAATACTGTGATCCTTGCTGCAGAGCTTTTACAGGAGCAACCCCCCAACAACAACAGCTTTCACCTGCTGTTCAGGATTTGCGTCATTCTCTATAGCTTCTTGCTTTTTTTTTTTCCAGAATATCTTGATTTTTTTGAGAAGAGAAACAAAGTAGTTGGTATCGTTGTGCGTGATGCTCTTCAGTTTGCGGATGGCTTTGGCTTGAAGGCAGGGATTCGGAAGCGTTGGGCAGGTTTAGAACTCAGATAACACGCGGACTTTTGCAYGATGTAAAAGCATCATTTTGAAATTTGTTGTCTTGGGTAAATGGCTTTGCAAGGAGATGGGAATAATAACTGTGAGATGAGATTAATATGAAGCCTGTTGAAAATTGGCAGGTGTCACAAATATTAAATGAATCTTTATGRTATTAGAATACACAAAAAATATAATTCTTTGAAACGCTCATTCAATCTCTTTTTTTTTTTGAAGTCTAAAGCTTTTAGGGGTCCTGTAATTTATATGGTAAACCCTAATTTACATAAGGGCTAAATCTCTTTGCTTAACTTTAGAAATGTTTCAGGATATTACTTGTTGGAAATGGCAAATAGTGCTGTACATGGTTTGGTTATTAGTTTACTTTTGAAGAAGCTAGAAGTAATAGTTCCTTGTCTGTAGTAARCATTTTGGGATTTCTCTTTTTAATAGTTGCTTTTAATTACAAGACACCATGTGTTTTTTGTGTGTGTTTCATGTAGTGATTTAACTTTTGCCTGCTGTTCTTTTAATTCTCTATTGCAGKATCTCAGATAAACCTTTTGGAGACTGTTACTGGAGACCATTTCCCTGCCTTCATTAAAACATGTGCTRTAGAGCTGTGAAACGTGGCGTTTATTTTTGCTAACAGAAGATACTTTCAATACTGGTAAGTGTGGAGATTTTTAAAGTCTGTTTGGTTGGCTTGGTTTGTTTTTAAATTTGGTAAGGGCGGGAGGAAGACCAGCAGCACATAGCATTGCCATTATGGCTTCTGGTTCTTGAAAATTTGACATAACACTGATGAAAAGGGCTAGTGTAAAAATCTTACCCATCCAAAAAAGTTGAAGAATTGTTAATGCCTATTCTACTGCTCTTATGTTATGATAAGGACCATTAATCGTGGTCAATGAGAAGAGGAAAACAGGTGAAAAAGTCCAAGCAAGAGGAAAAGGGAAGAGCTCTGCAAAATAAGGGTCTCAGGAATAGCACTCTTGGCCTTTTCTGGCACATCTTGTGACTGCATCAGAGGTCTAAATGAGGGTCTGAATACTGAAAGTCCCAAAACTAAGTGAAAATGTGTATTACTTCTGCATCCAAGCTAACAGAGACATTTCCCCTGTGCATGTGTTATCCCCCCAGCTCTCCTTTTTGTTAAACTGCCTGAATAACAGGGCTAAAAAGCTAGCCAAAACAATTGCTATGGAGAAGCAATCAGAATTAAAGACAGGCAAGACTTGGCAGTCTGAAATAGGAATTGAGAACAGTCGGTGGTATTTGCCTGAATTGGGTCATATTTGTTTTTAAGATTTTCAGTTGTGCTTATTGCCATAAGACTGCTCAGGTTTTCCTTGTTACTTCATTTGTTTATTAGAATATATTAAGTCACCATTTATAATTGCTCGAGTTTGTATTGGAAAAGCTTTCTTAATTTGTCTTCTGATATTTCTTCTGCAATCTGTCGTTAYAGAGGGTCCGTCTAGAAATCAACAGTATTGACTTTATGGTTTATTATTTTCATGAAGGGAGCTAATCTATATATGGAAAACATCTGAAATATGGAGATCGGAAATCTGTGGAAAATAGTCTTCTGCCATGGCTAACAATACATAAAACTAAGTTTTGAATAAAAGTCTAGTTGAACACTTAAATTGAAGTTAAATGTGGCAAGTGTAATGAGTATGTTATTCTAAGGAAAATAGTGTGCTCTGTGGAAGAGAGGTATAAAAAAAGGTAGTAAGGATGGCTGCATCTTTGCATATAAATAGGGCAGAAAACCTTTGTGTGCATTAGTGTCAGAAAAATTCCTATTTTATACATGCTGATCATGAATGTTAATGTTTTATCTGAGGAGTCTAGCTCTGAGTATACCCCATTATACACATGTGCATATTTCATATAGAAATTTCAAAGTTTTGGGGATTGTTTAGTCTCTTAACCTACAAAGGCATCAGCCAGTAGGTTGCAATTACTTGCAATTAAATATTTCAAGAGGAAGCTCTCCTGAATATTCCAYTGCAGACTTTTTGTAAGTTGTATCGGTAGCCTTTTAAATAGAGTATTTTATAGGTCAGATAAGGTAAATTAGTGTCCTTCAGGCCACAAATGTCTCTTTAAAGAGTCATTAAAGTGAGACTGTTTTGAAAAGCTACCAAACAGGAAATATTGTTGTTCCAAGGATCTGTTTGAAGCTTTAGCTTCTAAAATTAGATATTTTTTCCCATACTTTTTCAGAAGGAACTGTTGCTCAGGCTGTTGTGTAAGGGTAACATGGCTTTAATTACCTGCACTGCATTGCTACACATTTAAGTTGATATATTTTTGGTTTACTAAGTCATAACTAGGTGTTTTATATCTGTGAACTTGGAGGGAAAGAGCTTTGGCATGTGTGATTATTGCCTGGTAATTGTACAGTTTAATGTGAATAACTTTTTCTGTTCTTGTTTTTTTTGTGTGTTTTGTTGTAGTTCTGTCTTTCTCCTACAAGAGTTCATACCAGTCTTACTGGAAGCCTGCAGACATTGCGCTCCCTGTGCTGCCCTGGGACTGTTGATGTCCTCAGCTGTTGTAGGAGAAACACTAGACCTGGAACCCAGTTTGTTACTGGTAAGGAATATTCGTTTTGGAGTTCTTTTGGTTTTGAGTATTTAAGTTTGCACTCTTTCTCTAACAAAGTGACTAAAAACTTTGCTGTTTCCTCCTGTAAGAGCATTATACCCCAAACTGCAGCTCCGCCCTCTCCCTACCTGCTTCCCCATTTCCCCCATTTCTAAATGTATTTGTCCAAACTTCCCCCTTTCCAGACTGTAGACAATAATGCTTTTCCCTTACTTTTCATTTTCAGACCTTTTTTTCTCTTAAAGTTCTTCATGTACCATCACAGTTAATGAAGGTTAATAAATATTTTTTTTCCAGAATACCTTCCGAAATCTTCCTTTTTATGACACATTGATATTGTGCCTCTCCAGCTTTATTATTTCTTGGAGGTGCAGAGATTCCTCTGTCCTTGAAATATATGATGTTCCAGTAACTTCAGGTAGATAATTCGACAGGTCACAGCCAAATTGCTGGCTTAAAGTTTTGGGGTGCTGAGTGAAAGGTGTCATGAGGGCTGCTTGCTGTTTTAGGGTTGGGTTATCAGAATTGGGATCTGCTTGTGGTTCACATTTAAATTGCCAAAGCAAAGCTTAATGCTGAGATGAATGACTGGAATTGTGTGATGTTTTGAATATTATACTTTTTGTTGTAATTGGCTGTGATTTAACTCCCGATATTTTCRTATCTACCTTACTGCGTGCCAGAAGCAATTGTAACATGATGATATGATCACAGTTATTGCGTTTCCTGACTAAATCTAATGCAGACAGAGCGGGAATTGTAACGTTCTCACCTGCRTAGAGAACTCCTATGGTTGGAGGGGGTGACTTTTTTTGCTGCTGTTGACAAGGTAGTATTTGGCTTGAAATTAGAAAAAACTTTAATGAATTCTCATCAGACAGGTGTTAATTAAGTATTTGTATAGTTGTTTTGCCATGCACTTATTGAGAGTATTGAGAGTGGACCTCTCAAAGCTAATAAAAATACAATAGTTTTCAAGAGTTTTTTTTTTTTTAAATTCACTCATAATTATGTGCCTCCCTTGTCTTTTCTATAATTCTACAGTATTTCTCAAACTGGAAGGCAAAACTTTATTTTCTTCCTTCAGCTTCCAGCCTATAAGGACAAATGCTCATTTTTTCTAAGCAGTCGTTAAACACGCTCATCCCCATTCATAAAGAAAGTGATTATTGATGTTTTTATGAAACGCTGAGTTGCAATTAACATYCTTGGGCCAAGGAGCTGGTTTGTTCTCCCTACAAACATCTGTCTGCTTCTCTTTGAGTTCACAGTTGTAGCTTGAATGACTTGATCAATGAACGATCAGTTTCTTGAATCACACAGAACAATTTTTTTGGCAGCTATTCATTGTTCATAAGCTGTTACTTATGTTTGTGCCCTAAGTTTTGCTCAAAACAAATGTAATGTTTGCGTATTTAGTGTAAAGAAATTTAATTAAGCTCATAAAACTGTGTGCTGTGCTTCCCYAAATGTGCCTGTGGGGAAAAACTTCAGTTTTGGAAACTGGTTCTTGGAAACGCTCACAAGTGATGTCTGCAGGGAATTTTCCTCCATCAATATTCCGATTCTTCTGCTCTCCATTTAAGAGAATAATCTAAGTATGGGTAGTGTCTTTTTCAGTTTCTAAGGTTAGCGTTTTTATTTGGTTTGCTTTCAGCTGTAGCTTTGTGTTCTGCACGGGCCACGTGGATGTGATGGATCATGTGCATTTCTGTCGTCCTTATTGGAATAAAAAGGTACTAGTAGCTCCTGTGCCCCGCTATGCAGGGAGGCGTTTTGAGCCCGCTCTCACCTTACAGGGCTTCTCTGCGGAGGAATCTAAAAAATGCTGGAATGCTGGTGGGAGCGGAGACCTGGAAGGACTGGGGGGGGAAGAGAAGTGGAGTGCCTTGGTTGATGTTTTGCCTGATAAACTCTTGGAGTTGGAATTCAGCCCTTGGAATTTCAATTTTTCTTGGAAATTCAGCACAAACTCTTGGAATTTGAGTTCAGCATTAGTCTGTTCTCCCGTCCCTCTGAAGGGAGAGGGGGGTGGGAAGGGCCCGTGGTTTTGCCTGGGTTCTGCTTGGCCCTTTTCCCTAGGGAGCAGAGTGGCTGCGGGAGGAGAGTGTGACAAACCCGCGAGCATTTTGGCACCGTAACCCCTGCGCGCTGCATTGAAGCCTAGGAACTTGCACTCAAACACATGCAGCAGCCTAAACGTGGAACCTAAATTTTTAGTCATCTTGCAAGAGAGTAAAAAATCCAACCCAAAAGAAAACAAAAAGACTTGTATCAGGCTTTCAATTGATTAGAATAACTAAAATCTGGTTTTGTTGCTGTTTTTCTCCTGAGTGAAGGGAATGATGTACCTCCAGGAAATTATTTTTGTCCCCACGATTTCCCAGGGGATAATACTGTACACTTTCATCTGTGCTGCTGCTTTCCTTTTTATCTGTGTTTCATTTTCATGATTTAAATAATTCACTGAATTTTACATGTGACAAATTTGTACCCCTTAATTTTAATGGTGTTAAGATTTCTGCAGGGGACTTATTATATGTATTATATGTTGAGAGGTTAGGCTTTGTAAACGCTACTGCTTCCTCTTTTGAGAGCCCTTGCAGCATTAAGTGAAGCCTGTGTTTGTTTAGGCTGTTATTATGTCCTCAGGTGTTGTTTTTATGTTCAAACAGTTTGCACTGATGATGCAAAATAAACACTTTTCATAAATGCTGTATTTGTAGAACTGGGTTTATTCTAGCTGGGGGTTAAAGTTTATAGAAATTATTAATGGTTGCTTTAAGAGCAGGTTTGTGACAGCAGGAAAAACACCAAGCTCTCCTGTATCTTCACAGAACTTTGCATGCAGGTGGTTATTAAATCTGCTTGTGCTCAAGACCTTGTCTGGTTTTTATGGTYACATGAAAGTGCTCTTTGCTCAGGAGCAAAAAACCAACCAAACAAAGGGAAAAAAAAGATGCACGAGTTATATAGTTATATCCATGTTCTTTATTTGTGATTAGAAAGTTACAGGAGTAATATTCCCTGCAAGTAGCATTGTGCCCTTGCAAAGCATCAAGGATTGAGTGTGTTTGCCTAGGAAGCCTTCCTGGGTTGGGGAAAAGTTACTCAATTTTCCTGGTCAGAACTTTCTTGGAGGCTTGTTTGGATGCATCAAGTGGCACCAGGCTTAAAACATCCTAGTAAACTTGAAAATCTCCACAGTGTTTTTATGTTTCTTATTTCTGTCTTTTGCTAGTGGTTTCAAGGGGGTTGCATTTCTAAAGAAATCTTTACATAGCCTCTTTTAAGTGGAGATACACATCGTTACAAGGAGAGGAAAAAATAAAAGCCACAAAACAGCATGTTAAATTGAAACACAAGAGCAGAGGGTTTTGAAGCTTGCTGAATTTTTAACTACTAGCAAATTGCCTTAAATTTAACTTGGATTAGTTCCCTAGTGATCCTTGACATTAAACGGATGTGCTGGTTTGACATGGGTAGACAGAAAACTAATTAATTCCTCTGAATTTGAGGCATATTTAATTTTCTCCCCCAAAGACTTCTCATTTAAAAGGTACAATGATGTGAAAAAACATTCACTGTGGAACAAGCTTTGTAAGGTAGCAAACCTCTAGACAGGGGAAGATCAAGACATCTACAAGAAGAATTGTTGTTTTGGAAAATGTGGTATTTTATTGATTCAATTGAGTGTAAAAGGAGTGCTATAAAAAATGTGGCCACTTGTCAGTGGGATGGTGCTGCTCCTGGTCGTGGGTGTCATCCCCCTTCATCTCTGTCTCATTATGCTTGGAACATGGGCAATTGTCCTTCCTTTGGATAGAGGAAGGTACATTATTTTACTTGCATTACAATAACTATTAATTATATTTTAGAATATGAGGTATTTTTGCTTTCTTGTGCTAAAGGAATCCGCCCATCTTCTGCTTTTGTCTCCAGTGTCCTTGGAAATGTGGACAATTAAAGTAAGGTCATRTAATTGTCGTGTGTTAATGACACACTCGTAGCTGACCCGGAGGGTGTCTGCTCTCAGAGCTTGGTGGGTGGCAGGGAAATCGGGACGGAATCTTGCATCCGTGTTGGTATTTAGTAAGGATAATATGACCAGAAAATAATAAAACTTGGACAAGATGTTTTGCAAATAACCTAGCAAGGCCTTCATCCATAAAAAACGCCTGGTTTGTCAGTGTCTGAGTCTCAAATTGGTACATCAAAACAGAAGAAGAGGCAAATTTATTAATTGGGATTCTGGTACAGACGGTCTAAACAAAAGGTGTATGTCAAGTACCAAGCAGAGATCAGCAGGGAGGGACAATCCAAAGGCACTAAAATAATCGGAATAAGCGTCTGAAGTGGCAGAGAAATAAAATCCCAAGGGGGTTTCAAGGTGGAAAACAGGCGAGAGGAAATCCAAGCAGAGATGTTGCATAAACTGAAGATAATATCAACAAATGTCTTTGTATCAACAAAGATCTTGATGCTAATCTAGACCAAAATGAGGAATGGAAAATTACCTCCTTTTTTATTTCAACCCATTCCAGGAAGATCAGCCTTGGAATGTGGATTTTGAGACCTGTAAGGGAACAGCAAAGGGAAATGCTGCTTTGGAAACCGTGTGATCACTCCCTAATTGTGTGCTCTGAGGTTCCTGCATCTTCCTCCGAAGCACGTGGATATGGCAGCAGCTGAAGATAGGATGGATGATGGACAATTCACTTGATCCTTTGTGGCAATTCGTATTTCCTGAGGGGACTGGGCCGACTCTTCGGCTCCTAAAAGTAGATGCAGTCGTGGTTTCTGGGAGAAAGACAAAACTGAACTGTCAGCCTCCCTTAATAGGTGGTTCTCTCAAGCACAAAGACGTTTTGAAGCTGTGGCAGCCACCTTTGGAGCATGGAAGCTGAGGACCCAGGTATCGTTTTTGGAGGTGGAGGTTACCGTAGCAGAACCAATCGAAGCTTTTGAAAGAAACGGGGAGATGCTCTTTTTTTGTATGGCAACTCAATGCTCTTGATTAGCTAGAGCCTCAACTTCTGCTGCGTGGTATTTGAAGCTTGGCATCAAGATGTAGATGTGGTGCATGTTGGATAAACTGCCAAAAATAATGCTAAGGAAGTTGAAAAAATGCGATTCAAAAGGTGGGTGTGGAATTCTGAAGCTGTTATCTGCTGGGATAGTGCAAACTGCACGCTGAGGGTGTCCTGGYGCTGCCARCCACCTTGGATAGCAGGTACCTTGTGTGTTTTGAAGTCGAAGGTGTTTGAGCTGACGTGCACGGTGCTGGAGCAGGAGCCTCYGCGAGCTGGGAGGGCAGCGAGACTCTCATAGAGGCCAAATRGGCAGCAAGTTAAACCGTGTGGTCGCAGTGACCTACCGAACACCCTATGGAACGGGATGCGTATGTTTAGTCCGTAACGACACGTTGCTTCTCTTATATTTGTGCTTTGCCAGCAAGGGAAAGTTCGTTCTGAAATTCCTTTGTGCTGTTGATTGCAGTTTGCGTTTAACTGTTTTTTGCTTGTTTTGAAGTATGTGAGGAGGCTAATTTTAGAAATAACTTGCAAGATGTCTATACTACTAGTTTTAACTAGGCTTCATTGGAGCATCTTGTGACGTTTTCGGGAAGATTTATCAAAAGTCCTATGGATTTTTATCAGCCCGATTGGATGTTCTGCTTTCTTGCCTATAGGAGCCTCCTTTCCTAAATATGAATGTTTAGGTGACTATTAGAATTTCCTTACATATCTTTGGATGGTGGTGGYGTAAACTCAGATAAGGCATGGAAATAGTACTCTTTATTGTGAAGTTAAAAATACTGTGCTGATAAGTAGTTAAGCTTCAAATAGCATTAATTTCATAGTTCTGAGCYGTTGCCAGTTTAGTTTGGGTGGGGACTTCGATCTGTGGCCTTGGATTTGCCTGTTGCTCTTCTGACCTAAAACTGGTATTTTTAGCCCCTCAATCGCAACATAGCAAAGGAAATAGCTGGTTTCAGTTGTCTCTTTGAGGCACTTACTTGTTGTTCAGTGTACTGTGCGTCCTGCTTTTTCCCCTCAAGAAAGATATTGCAGAATGCTCTTCAATAGTTTGATCTATCAGCAGGGTTTCAGACGTAGCGGTTCTTTTAAAGCAAGCTTTRCTGAACTCAAGCAGTAAAAACTGACAGACGTTTTACCCAAGATAGGTTTTCTTAGGAGGCTGCAGTCGTTTAAAGAAACGTGAGTCTGGAGTGTTCTCAGGCACTGGAGGATTGTGCTTCAAATCTAGTCCCTTTTAATGTAAATTATTCAAGTCCAGCATAAATAATCCGCAGCTTTTAATGAATGTGCCGCCTTTCTCGGCAGCGGTTGTGTTTTGTGACCTTCTTTCAAGGTGGACCTTATTGGCTACAAGCTGGTTTGTCTTGCTTAGTCCTTGGAAAACGTCTGTGAACTCTGATTTTTGGTGTAATACTGTCCGCTTCTTCTCCATACAGGACTTGTGGAAGCGGAAACACAAAGATTTCCAAATGAATAACCGAAAGGAAGATATGGAGATTGCGTCCCACTACCGTCACCTGCTCCGGGAGCTCAACGAGCAGAGGCAGCACGGCATYCTCTGTGACGTTTGCATTATAGTGGAGGGCAAGATCTTCAAGGCTCACAAAAACGTGCTGCTCGGGAGCAGTCGCTACTTCAAAACGTTGTACTGCCAGGTGCAGAAAACGTCCGACCAGGCCACAGTCACCCACTTGGACATTGTCACCGCGCAGGGCTTCAAAGCCATCATTGACTTCATGTACTCGGCGCACCTAGCGCTGACCAGCAGRAACGTCATCGAGGTGATGTCCGCTGCCAGCTACCTGCAGATGACAGATATTGTGCAAGCCTGTCACAATTTCATAAAAGCGGCTCTCGATATCAGTATAAAGTCCGATGCCTCGGATGACCTTGTTGATTATGAACTCGGAGCTCCTTCCAGYAGCAGCACGGATGCTTTGATCTCGGCAGTTGTGGCTGGAAGGAGTATATCCCCCTGGCTCGCGCGGCGGACGAGTCCGGCCAACTCTTCCGGAGACTCTGCCATTGCCAGCTGCCACGAAGGAGGAAGCAGCTATGGAAAAGAGGATCCGGAACCAAAAACAGACAGCCACGAGGACGTTTCCTCCCAGTCCCTTTGGTCTAGTGACATGGGCTATGGGTCTTTACGTATCAAAGAGGAGCAGGTTTCGCCGTCGCATTACGGAGGGAGCGAGTTGCATTCTGCCAAGGATGGTGCAATGCCGAACACGTTCTCGGAGCAGGGTGTCGGGGATGGCTGGCAGCCCACGGGGCGCAGGAAGAACAGGAAAAATAAAGAAACGGTGCGTCACATCACGCAGCAGGTGGAGGAGGACAGCAGGGCGAGTTCTCCAATGCCATCTTTTCTACCTGCCTCAGGATGGCCGTACAGCAGAGACACGAGTAAGTCCTCCTTTTGCTTTTCGTTCCTGGCATCAACAATGCAGAGTTAACACGATCTGTTTATGCTATGGTCTTACCAACCTCAAAAATACATTAGCCTGTCGTAAACTGGAAAATGTGGGAATCCCAGTTGCCAGGTGTTGATGGGAGCACTGTCAGGTCTAGTGTCACTGCAATGCAGGCCAGTCCTTCTGTGAAAGAGACTGGTGGTTTTGTCTGGTCCTGAATATAGAATGGCTTAAATCACCCTCCAAAAACACCATTATAATTACCAGAAATAATGAGATAAAAGCTTGGAACTTATTTCAGCAGGTGTGCAAACTCATTGCACTTCATGTCAAGGTTGAAGAATTTTCCTTGCATAGGATATTGATGCAGTAATTATACCACATATAGGTGTAATTTAGTGAGTCTTAATGATACTATCTTCAGTGCCGCCTGCTATCCAGGTGTCACTTTCTCAAGAATAAGAAAGCTACCGTAGCTTGTTGCTGTTAATAGCGAGAAATGTGTTTGGTAGCTCTAAGAATAATGTTTTTGTGAGGCTCTAAGGCTTAAAATGTGTTTTGGTGTCTGGGCTACTTCTAGTCCGAGATGAATGGCTGCTTTTTTYGAAAGTGTAACCTGGGAGAAAAATGTTTTCTGGGCTCCTTTTGTATCTTGACTAGTTCTTTTTTTCTGTCTCAAAATGAAGATAACTGTCCTATTTGATTGACTAATTGATGCCTATTTTTAGATCCAAGAACACTATTGATAGAGAATTCTGTTTTTTTAAGGACTCGAGAGGAAGTGTGGTATTAAACTCCCTAAAGCTGACTTGAAACTCATGGTCTGTGCCATAGATAACCTGTGTTACATTCTGGTACGTGATGAAAGCCGGCAAGGGGAAGGGTGTGTCAGATTATATGCCCTTAGGTTGACAAATTTAGATTGAAAAAACAAATAAATAATAAGAAAAGGCAATATGACTAGTACTGAGAGTCTGAACAGTGACTATGTTATCGGAGAAAAAAATTAAGCTACATACCTGCTGATACATGAATGTTAAATTTGGCTTTCATTGATGTTTAACTGAATGGGCAACTGTCTAGAAATATCTTTAGTTAGTTGCTTTTACAGCTAGCTGCAGCAGCAAGCTTGCCTGAAATTATTCTMATTGGCTGGTGATAAAATCTAAACAACTTTGGTTAGAAGGAAGATGCCAGATAATTTAAGATAAGAATGATTTATGATGAGTCCTRTTTTTGTAAGGTGTGTATTTTTGGACTGTTTTGAGTAAAGCCTCAGTGTTGACTGTTTGAAATGCTTTTCACACAAATCCTTTAACAAAGTTCCATAAAAACACTCCAAACACACCATCTGTGAGGTACATGGTGCAAGCCACAAGCACTGGAGTTCTGCAGAAGAGGATGCTGATCTTAAAAGACTGGTCATAGACTGAGTTTCTTCTGAAAGCAGCACAAAATATAAGAGATGATATTGCTGGAAGATGAATGGTGTCWGTAGCATTTCACTCCTAACTGTTAAGGAATTAGATGAAGGTAAATTCTCTTCTTTACCTCTCTATGGCTGGGAGGAAGACGGCTCTGGGCTTGCCTCAGTGCAGTGCTGAGACAGCTCCGTCAGCAGATGCAATCAAATCATTTCTTCTGAACCTTGTCTTCAATAATTTCCAATTAAAGAGGTGTTTTATGTGATGCAAAAGAGGATGTATTTGGACAATGAGCTACCCAGTTTCTCCATACTAGCCAGCTGTGGGGCTGAATAGAGATGCAATCCTACTCCCATACGTGAAGGCCGACGGCCTCTTCCATGTGCAGAGCAAGAGGAGATGTGTGTCTCATGTGAGCTTGCAGAACGGGGGTGCTGCCTTGGTGTCGGGGAGCCCTTTCTGCACATGGGGGAGCGTCCCGATCCCAGCGGTTGCAGGAACCCCCCTCCCCAGGCTGATTTCTCTCGTCTCTGGGGCTTGGGGTGGAAAGGAGAAGGTTTTAGGAGCCTGGAGGTCTGTGCACATTCAGCCTCTCCCGTGCCCCTTTACACAGGTGCCTGGTTTGGCTGCAGGCTGCTGGAGTCGGTCCCTCGGGTGCCATCGGTTCCCTTCCCGCGCACAGGCAGGGACAGACTCGGAGCATCCCCCTGTCCCTGCGGCAGGAGGGTCCGTCTGTCTCGCATTAATATTTCCCATCTCCAGCAGGTGGAAGCAGCCGTCTTGCGAACGGCTCCATCCCCTCCGTTGCTTGGCTACCGCCTCTGCAGCCCTGGTACCCGCAGCCCTGCCGGCACCCGGACATCGCCCCGAGCTGCGCGCTCAGCTCCTCTCCACCAAGGATCTCCCTCTGCAGGAGAGGGTTCGGCCTTTGGGAGGTGGTCCTGCCCTTCGGTTCTTCAGTCTCAGTTCAAAATTGGCTTGGAATTCAGTAGTGTCAGGCTTAATTCCCCGAGACGAACATCGTGGTCAAAGGCTCTTTGTTCCCTCCCTTGCTTGAAAGGGTCTCCATCCGTGCTGTTTGTAGCCTGGATGAAAAGATTCTGCCAAGGAGGTGGGTCTTGGAAGCTGTTTGGTAAATAAGCTAAGAGGAAAAGTTACCCAGAACATTTTTATTCTTGGAGACTTTCTCATTTTTTGGTCTATTTGGTGGTTTGTTGGGTCAGAAGGCCCTGGCTGTGGGATAACGTGGGTGCCATTTATTTGCAGGCGGCTGCTGCAGGGCAACACAAGCTGCCTGGCAGGGGGAAACAGATTTGGCAGCATCCAATTTAATCTCAGTGCTGGTGTCCTTCTGCAGAAACTGCAAGGATCCTCATCTGGTCTTTCTTGCAGTGCTCTTTGAGCAAGATGCGAGCCACATTTTTGGAAAGTAGGTGCTGCAAGTAGCACAGCTTGAAGATCTGTTTCATTTTTGCAAGGTCTAGCAGCTCGTTTACAGTTAGTCGCGTTGCTTGTTTCAGTGGGAAACAGATGTTCTTATCAACACAGGCAGGATGTAGTAAAGCATCCCATCTACTTAAGTAGACTGTGCTTAAATTTGATGAAATGGAGGCTAAAACAGATACAGATTTTATCTTGAAAGGAAAAATCTTTCTGGTTCAGTCGATTCTACTCCAGATGCTGCAGGGAGGCTTGCAATCTGATCGCGCTGCAGATTACCCCAGACACTTCATTTTAATCCTGTTAATGATAATCTCGTATCATGGAAAGAGCCACAGAAGCAAGCGGTTCTCAGAGAATATCCGCTTCCCGCAAGAAAAAGCGACCAAATAAGATTTGCAGAAGACTCTGCCCTGGGTGGAGATGCTGCACGGGGGATGTGGTTCAGCRCTCGGCTGTTCTCAGTCGGGCACCAGTGGAGAAGCGTCTCGGGCTCCAGCGACTTCCTGCTTTTTGCTTTGGTTTTCCTGGCTGGGCTGTGCTGCGGAGAGCGGCCCGGCTGCGGTGAGCAGGGTTTGATAGGGACCATGCTTCCCGCGCCTGCCAATTCGCTAACTCGCCATCTCCTTTTAGCATAAGACACTTSTCCTGCCTGCCCCTGCTTCCGCAGGGTGTTCGGGTTGTTTAGGGTGTCGCTGTGTTCTCCTCCATAGGAAACAGGCACCTCTGTGTTCTCCTCCAGCAGAATTTCCCTGGAGTAGCAATCCCTCGAGGTAACCCTAATAACAGGCTTTTGTAATTTGCAACCTCAAAACTGAGCAAAGAATCATCTTTACCAAGTGCTGACAGAGCAAGTCTGCCTTTCACTTAAATTACTCTTTGACCTTTGTAGGTTTTCTGTAGAAACAGGTGCAAATCGGTTATAATATCAAAGATGATCATGAAATTCTAATAAAGTCTCTAGTTTTGAACTTCTTGTCCCCTTCCACTCCCTCAGTTACTATTCCAAAAACATTAGTTAAACTTTTTACAGGATGACAAGTTTTGAGTATTTGGACTGCGGAAATTAATGCATTTGAAAGTGCCAATGAAAGGATCAGTTGTCCTCACTAGAAGAGGGGTTAAACTAACCAAGTGTCACATTTTCTTTACTTCTTGTGTGTGGTGGAGGGTTTTGTTGGTCCCAGCGTGTGTGAGGGGCACTGTCTATTGAGGAATTTATTGATGGCTTTTATTAATATTTTATTTCAAGCATAGTTTTGATTCAGGAATTTATTTCTAAGGAAATACTCCCACACATCTTCTGAGTGTTGTACCCTGAAGCTTCGAGTGCTTTTCGTGCCAGTTGGCTGTGGAATGAAATGAATTACAGATCAGAGACATCACTTTGGAAGATGCTTCTGAATTGAGGAGCTTCTGGCTCTCTCTGCTTGCACGTAGCGACTGTAGCGGGATGTGATTTGAGACCCTCCTCTTTGAGAGGCAGGAGGAGCTCGGTCTAGCTCGACTCTCAGCTCCCTTCGTGCAGGTGAGGTCCGGGGACCCGTCCGAGCTCAGGTAAATGAAACTGTCCCTTCTCTTTGGATTTTACACTTGTAAAAGAGTTCTTTTCTGAGCAAACTATCAGGCTTCCTGCATCCCTTGTGCTTTTCCATGGAAATCTTCAAATCCTGACCTTGCCCCGCTGTCTTTAGAGGTAAAATTAGAGCATGGGCAGTTATTGCAAGGGACGGGATTTTTTCCTGCCCCCTTAGGAAGCTGAGGATCACCGACCCCTCTGCATAACTTGGTTTTGCAGCGTGTTTTGTAGTGACCCTGTGCGCAGCAGGGCCCCGCGCCACGTGCCCAGGTGCCGGTGAGCAGCCTTGGCCAGCGCGTTGCTCCGTGAATCATCCGCTGCTCGGCGGCTTCTGCGCTCGAGCTACTGTGCACTAAAATCTGTTTTCAATAGAAGTTGAGGAAATTAAGTTACTGCAAAACCATTTCTCAACCTCGGTTTCCCAGCCATCTAGCTTGCTTTCTTTTTAACCCTAAAGTTTGTTTTGTCTSTGTTATGTTATATATTTCTCAAATGTTTTCATCCGTGTTGTGGAATAAACGCCTTGAATAATTAGAAGAGGAAAAAAAA